TGAGCTGATTTTTGTATATGGCATGAGGAAGGGCCATGCTTTTCATGTTTATGGCATTTGTCTTCATGCTTTCCATGTGGAATATTTCAGCACTATTTGTTGAGAAATTAACATTTCCCATTGAATTGTATTGGCACCCTTCTTGAATATGAATTGACTACAAATATTTAGGTTTATTTATAGACTCTCAGTTTTGTTATTTGTTCCTTATGTCTATTCTTATGCCAACATCACATTATTTTGATTACTCTACCTTTGTAATCAGGAAGGATGAGTCCTCCAACTTTGTTCTTTTTTTCAAGATTGTTTTAACTATTCTGAGTCCCTTGAATTTCAAAATTAATATTAAGATAAATTTTTCAATTTCTGCAAAGAAGCCAGCTGGAATTTGATGGGGATTGCATTGAACCTGTAGATCAACTGGGAAGTGTTGCCTTCTTAACAAAGATTTTTTAAAACATATTTTATTTTTATTTTGAGAGAAAGGGAAAGAGAGCATGAGTGGAGGAGAGGGGCAGAGAGAGACAAAGAATCCCAAGCAGGCTCCATGCTCAGTGTGGAACCCGATGCGAGGCTCGATCCCACAACCCTGGGATCATGACCTGAGCTGAAATCAAGAATCGAACACTTCCTTAACAATATTAAATCTGGGGCACAGGTGGTCAGTCATTTAGGCATGCAACTTTTTTTAAGTTTTTAATGATTATTTATTTTTGAGAGAGAGGGACAGAGACAGAGAGACAGAGCACGAGTAGGGGAGGGACAGAAGGAGAGGGAAACACAGAATCCGAAGCAGGCTCCAGGCTCTGAGCTGTCAGCACAGAGCCAGACACAGGGCGTGAACTCATGAACTGTGAGATCACGACCTGATCCGAAGTTAGACGGTGACTGACTGAGCCACTCAGGTATCCCTAAGTGTGCAACTGTTGATTCTGACTCAGGTCATGATCTCATAGTTTGTAGGTTCGAGCCCTGCATTGGGCTCCACACTGAGTGTGGAGGCTGCCTGGGATTCTGTCTTCCTCTCTCTTTCCCTTCCCTGTTTGCTCGCTTTCTCTCTCTCTCTTTCAAACTAAATAAATAAACATTAAAAAAAAACAATAATATTAAATCTTCTGATCCATGAACATGGAATGTCTTCCATTTAGCCAGGTCTTCTTTAACGTTTTTCAATCAACTTTTAATTACTTAAACAAGGTTTCTTTTAGTTCCTTGAACATATTTATAATAGCTGATTTATTTATTTTTAAATTAATTTTAATAGGTTTTTATTTATTTAGATGTTTTGTCTATCAAGTCCACCTTCTCAGCTTCCTCATGGAAAGTTTTCACTTACTGCTTTTTCATCTTGGATATGAAACAAACCAAACTTTCCTGTTTTCCTTTGTGTCTTGCATTTTTTTTTTCAAACTGGACCTTTAAAATCATGTAATATGGCAACTCTGGAAACCAGTTTTTCCTAATACCTCCCTTCCCCAGAGTTTATTTTGTTGTTGCTGTTTGTTTTGTTTCAATAACTGTTGCTGCCACCATCTGTTTGTTCAGTGACTTTCCTGGACTAATTTTGTAGTCTGTATTTTTATTGTGTGTGGCCACTGAAGTCTGTTCAGCTAGCTTACAGGCCAGCTAATGATCACATGATTTCCTTAGATGCCTTGAATCAGTATGTCTCCTCGATTTTGCTAAGAGTCTCTCGCTATGCGTTAAGGCATGCCTTCAATGCTCTGCAGCTAGAAATTCTGCCCCAGCCTTCACTTCCTGCTTCAAGATCAGCCAGGGATGGATTTAGGCCTTCTCATGTCTTTCCTGGGCGTGTGCACAGCCTTGCATATGCACATAGCTTTCTAGATTTCCAGGAATATGTTGGAGCTTTTCAAAGCCCCCCAGTGATAACTCATTCTCTAAATTTTTCTTTTAAAGTTTCTAATCAGCCAACAGGTGTACCATCGGCTCAGGAAGCTGTGATGTTCAACAATTACTACTGATTATTTTCAACAAACTAGGGGAAAGGGTTGTTTGCATGAAGGGAGTCCTGAGTCATGGCAAATAAAGATAATTCTTGAGAATGGTGCCTTTCTTGGGAGCTGTCTGACGGGTCCAACACTGCTAGTTCTCTGGAGATGTAGCTTTTGGGGGAGCTTCAAACCTGTCCTCTCCTGCAGCTTTTAGGCTGCTAATTTTCACAACTACTCTGGTTGTGAGGCTGCTGGTTTTCAAGGCTCCCATGGAGGCTGGGGGAGGGGAGAAGGGTGAGAATCCTGCAAGCAAAAATGCCTCGAAGCTCCAGTTGTACTGAGATTCAACCATTTTTCTTTAATAACTACTTGTGTCATTGCAAACCTCTGGCTAATTTCAAGAGTTCTGCAAAAGTTGATTTTGACCACTTTTGTCAGTGTTCTCATTGCTTTTCATTCTGGAAGTGCTTCTCCTCATCACCTTTGTTTTATCTATCTATCTATCTATCTATTTTGAGAGAGAGAGAATGTGCGCACATGCACCTGAGTGAGGGGCAGAGAGGGATAGAAAGAGAGAGAGGAGAGAGAACTCCAAGCAGGCTCTGTGCTGCCAGCACGGAGCCCAATGCAAGGCTCGATCCCATGAACTGTGAGATCATGCTCTGAGCCAAAATCAAGAGTCGGACGCTTCACCGACCGAGCCACCCAGGCGCCCCTATAATTTAATTTGTAACCATGGTTGTGTCTAACAACTGGAATGCAAAATTCCTGAAGGGTTCACAATACCACCGACACAACCATCATGTATGCACCCCTCGGATCCCGCGCAGCCCTGCCAATATTAGGGTATCTGCTGGATGCCAGACCCTCAGAGATGCATGCTCACCTAGTACTAAACTAACTCCACAACTCCCAGTACCTGGCCCACAGTCACCGCCAGCAGGACAACAATGCCAGTAGGGTTGTCCAAGTGATGATGGCTTGGCATGGAAGAAAAATGGGATAAGGCTGAGCACAGGTGAGAACGGCTATAGGAACGCACCCCAAGATATTGCCTCTAAGCTTTAGGGATCAAATCCCAAATTGTGTCAAAGGCTGTTTTCTGATTCCTAGGTGAAACGAAACAAAGCAAACTGGTGTTCAATTGTTTTATAAGCTCTCAAGAGAATCTTCAAGAGAAGCACTGGGCAAAGGTAGGAGTGGTGAGGTGGGCGGTAGAGTAAAGGTTTCCATCAGACCCCCCTCTGAGGAATGTGTACCTTAACTCCTGCTCTGTGAAGTGGAAAAAAAAAAAAGACGTTTAAAAAAATTTGGGCTTGGGGCATCTGGGCGGCTCAGTCAGTTAAGCATCTGACTTCGGCTCAGGTCAGAATCTTGCAGTTTGTGAGTTTGAGCTACACATCGAGCTCTGTACTGACAGTTCAGAGCCTGGAGCCTGTTTCGGGTTCTGTGTCTCCCTCTCTCTCTCTGCCCCTCCCCTGCTCTCACTCTCTTGCTCTCAAAGAATAAATAAACATTAAAAACATAAAATTTGGGGGGGCTTGCTTAACTAATAGTGAAACCTGCTCTGGGATTGTGGTCTGACATGTTGCTGCTGGGGTGCACTTTAATTAAGATTAACAACCACCAGGTTTATGGGGCAGGGCCTTGCTTGGCCTAGCACCGCCGCAAACAAGCCTGGTGACGCCTCGCGATACACAGCATGAGCATTCCCTGGCTTCCTCCAACTCAAAGTCCGGAGCTGCCTGACAGAAGTAGAAAGACAACAGGCTGATTGCATCTCTTTCCCAGACCTTTGCCTACCTCCCCTTTCCCAAACAGAGATCAGCAGACAGACGGGGACACTTTAACTCAGTATTTCACATTCCAGCTATATGTTTACTTAGGTGTTTACTGGCTTGCTTTAATCATTCAACAAATATTCCCCGGGGCATCGTGTGTAGGTCCAATGCCGGGCTAGCACCACAGAGAGCTGACATTTAGCATGGACATTTGAGGAGTTTGGAGAACGGGGCTCCCCTGCTGGCAGTCCACAGAGGTCCATCTGATAAGATTCAAACAAGTCCCTCTCATGCACAAACTGGTACAAGGGCCAGAAAAGCCTGTCCTTTCCCCAACCTCCAGGTCTCTAACTATTATGTTATTTCTGCCTGGTAGGTGCTTGCTCTACCCTTTCTGCAGGACTATGGTCTCTCCCTCCCTGTTGGCTGGACCTTGTCTCTTGGTGGGAAGAGGCTGGGGAAAGGCCCAGGGAGTGCCCAGCACCAGGACAGGGCACCGTTCCACAGGAAACAACCACTCAGGGCCAGGCCCTGTCCCAGCCCCCGGATGACTTCGACTGACGAGGGCACAGTGCCTGTCATCAGGCAGCTTACCATCACAGGAACAATAAAATATGGCAGCTGGGATAGCCGTCTGTTCGGGGCCAGGGCGGGGCACTAGGAGATGCAAGTTCATTTCTCCTGGAACTGGGAGGGGTTTTCTTAGATGACATCATCCTTTAGGTGACTCTTGACAGATGACAGAGAGTGGCCAGGTGGCCAAGAGAGGACAGGAAGGGCACTCTTGGCAAAGGGAACATCTTGAGCTCAGGAGCTGAGTCAGTGAGTGTGAGGGGAGAGCCATCCTATTCTTGTTGGGCTGAAATAAAATCTCAAGTATTCTTGATGGCTGCTAAGATGTGTAGGTCAACCTAAGGAGAGAAGAAGGGCCCAAAACGGCTATGCCAAGTAAAAAGGCTGAAGACAAAACAGGCCTATTTTTGCTCGTTTTAAAATCCTGAAAAAATTCTGATGGATTCTGAATGTTTATTAGTGTCTTCTTTATACTTCCCTGTATTTTAAAATTTAAAGTAATTGTCCGCATTACCTGCTGCCCACGCACTCCTCGGTCTGCAGGGGGCGCACCCGTGGCCACCCTCCCTCTTTCAGGGCAGTGGGCGGGGCCTCTGGGCCGGTGTGGAAGGGACGATTGGCTGGTTGGGCTGTTTGTAACGGCGTCCCGCCCCCGCCCTACGTCACATGACGCAGCCCATCATGGCGGCAGGAGCGCGGCTGCCCTGGCCCGCAGCTCCGCAGGGCTGCTGCCGTTGCTGCTGTTGAGAGGCGGCGGCGGCGGCACAGACGGGCGGGCAGGAAGGATGGTGTTTCTGTGGCCGGGGCGGCGGGTGCGGACTAGGAGCCGGGCTGACGTGTGCTCAGGAGCAGCTGGCGCGGGTGCCGCTGAGGCAGGCAGAACCGACTGACGGACGGACCGACGGAAGGAGACCCGAGAGCCGGCCCCCGGGGCCGTGCAGTGGGCGAGATGCCGGGGCCGCCCGCGTTGCTCCTACTGCTGCTACTCCTGGCCGCCGGCAGTGCCGGGGCCGCGCCACTTCCGCAAACAGGTGCAGGTGAGCGGGCCCGCTGCGGGGACGCGGCTGCGGGAACCCAGGCTGCGGGGCCGCTGCGACGGCGGTGGCAGGGGAGGAGGCGGCGGGCCCGGTCCGGCGTCGGCGCCGAGGAATTGCAGGGCCTGCCGGGGCGAGAGGCCCGGGGAAGCGGGCGATTAGGGAGGTTTCTGCCGCAGGGGCGTGGGGCGGGGGAGCGGACAGCCTCTCCAGGGCCGAAGCGGGGGCGAGGCGATGCGGTTGGGCCCGATGAGGGCGGCGAGCCGGGTGGCAGCGATCGACCCCTCCCGGCGTAGGCTGCGGTACCTGCTCTGAACCTGTTGCCCGAAGGTCCTCAACCTACATCCCTTTCTGGCAGTTCTGCTTCCCCTTCAGATGTCACCTGCCTTCTGTGCGTTTCTCACATCTTATAATAAGAACCGCTTCTTAGTCCTAATCCTGCTTAAATGCAAATGACTTGGTGAACTGTGCAGAGTTTCCTTCGCTCCCTGCAACTTGTTCTGAAGTTGTAAATTGATTTTAGACACTGTGCTTTTTATTCGGATTGAATCTCAAGGAATGAGAAGGAAACACTCTAAATATTTCTATTTTAGGAAGCCAGTGATTAGAGTAGCAGTCTTTGAGTAACTATTGACGGAATGGTCCAAGAGTGATTGAAGTTTCTATTTTAGCTACGTCAGTGTGTGATTTTCTTTCTTTTTTTTCTCCCCATTTTCTTGACATCCTTTTCGGTTGCTTATTTTCCCAGATAAAGGGTCTCAAGTTGGGTCATTCTTCTTTTAAAGAAAAAAAAAATCTGGGTTACGATCTAGTGCTTATCTATTTTTGAAATAAGGAGAGACTGAAATTTCATAGATTCATGAAATTTTGGAATTGGAAGAGACCTTAAAGAAAATTTAGCCTGATATCTTTGTTTCCCAGTTGAAGATACTGAGGCCCTGGCGGTCAAATGACCTACCCAAGGTGACACAGCTAAATTGTAGGCGGAGCCACATCTGAAACCCGTGTCTTAAATTCCCCCTGTTGTGTGATTTTTCCATTTCCCTACTTTAGGTCTAGTAAGTGTTTCAGAATACTCTTGAGGTTAAGAGTTATTTTAAAATGATGTTAACTGGGTACACAACGTGGAAGTTACCTTCCCCAGTAAAGACCAACACATCCACCATGCAAGTTAAAAATAATTGTTCCCAGAGCTACATACAACAGGTTCTGTCATTGAGTGCCCTTTAGTTGGGTATTAACTGCTATCATTGTGCCGTGTAATGTATCGCTAAATTTTTGCCACTGCCTTAGATCAAATATTTGTTAGGTGAATTCTGTTTTCTGATCAGATAAGAAAAGTGAATGTAATGAGGAGTGTATGCAGGCCAGGTGTTGAGTCACAGAAAGTGACAAAGTTGTAAAAGACAATATGGAAAAATGTTGATGTTGATATTGAAAGAAACTGATGATGAAATGGGAAATTAGCACTAGAGTAGGAGAGCGGGTAAAGAGTATGTGAAAGGGATTCTAGAAGTTTCTTTAAATTAAGCACTTAAAATTTTATATATTTTGAAAACCATATTCTTTATGGGACCCTATGGGACTGTGTCTCCCTGTAAACCTCTTGACATGATTTTTATTCCATTCTTTCACTGTCACCTCCATTCTTACGGAGGTACAGAGCATAAAATTGGAGGTGTTTGGGGAGCGCTATAAAACAAAACGGTCAAGAAAATTAACCCATAAATAGAAATACCAAATTTTGACATGAATAAAGTATAAAGAAATACATGGTGATTTATAGCAGCTTTTGCACATTTTCCCTTCATATTCTGCTGCTCAGAAGGTATACAGTTAGACAGGTGGTGTATAAGTGACAGGTGCCAAGGGTTAAATTCTGTGGAAGAGATGCATAATCACATGTAGATTTGTGGCCTTGTATTTCCATCCCAAAGAGATTATTAATCCTGGCAATGGAGATGGATTCTTGATGAAGATGTATTAGACCAAGAAGAATAAATAAACCTTTGAGCTAATCCTGATAAGTGAGCTCACTGGTAAAGAAAGAGGAACCCCTCTTGAACATACATGCGACGTAAAGAGCAGTTAAATGTTGAAAGGATTGTAACCCTCAGGCTTCTGATTATGTGTGGACTGTACTCCACACAGGGCTGGCCATTTTCAAGTTCAGGATAGACCCATTGCATAGGGTCTTTTGTCTCTTTGGCTTTATTCTTTCCACTTAAATTCCAAACTGCTTAAATAGTGCCTTGGAGAAAGCATGGCTTCTCAAAAATAGGTTAGAAAAAATACTTGAATGTTTTCCTTTGCCAGCCCATTTGCATGGGGAAAGAAATGAGGCACTTAACTAAAATTCAGCCAAAATTCATATCTAGGTTTCGGAAATTGAAGAGGTTATTTACCCATTCAGTCATAATTAAACTTTGTAAATATGTGGATTGCCTCTGCCTATCAGGCAAGAAGGCATTTCTTTTCATTTTTTTAAGTTTTAATTGTAATTCCAGTTAGTTAACATACAGTGTTCTATTACTTTCAGGCGTACAAGAAAGCATTTCTTACTTGAACTTTATTTTGCTCCCTTCTTTACTGCTCTGGGAGTCGCTCATGCCCTCTTTGGGGCCTTTTCCTGGGAATGTGTATTTCTGCAGGGTCCCTTGCTGGCTGTGTAGACTGAGATCTTGTTGGTCCTCACTAGAAGGCTTACATAAAGGGAGAAAGTCCACTGTTTCCACACACACACACCGAAGTTACCAGACTAAGGTTACAGTTAAAGTATTTTTTCCAATCCTAGTTATGAGGTCATTCTTAGAAAACATTTATGTATCTTTTGTGGGATTCTCGGGCTTCACATCATAGAAAGAGATGGCATATTTGTATTTGGGAAGGCATTCCTCCCAGTCCACCGTTTGTTATTAATATTAGGATAGTGGTAAGACAAGGAAACCCACTTCTATTGTTCTGTGGCATATTAGGTCACAGAGTACAGAGGAAGCTTTTAGCAGTTCCAGATAAAGGAGCTCGCGGAAGTCTGTGAAGCCGGTGGGACTCAGCTACTTATTAAACAGCCGCTTGTGAAACCGGGGCTCTCGTTTTAGATTAAACAAACAGCCTCGGATCTTGAGAAAGATTCTGCAGTAAAGGAACTGCTTTCTAAAAGTGTGAATTTTTGTGTTTATTTCAATGGCATCTGAGAAATAAAAATTATTGTCAACAGGCTTTCCATGCTGATTATCTCAGGATTTATAGCTGTGAGGCTCAAGATTTCATTTAGGTTGGGAGTGTTGTAGTTGCTCTCAGTTGTTGGTATTTTGGGGGTAACTAAATATGCTCATTTGCACAGTAATAGGAAGTCTGTCCAACAATTTTGTAGCTGATGAGCATTGAAGTTATCAAATCCCTACAGTTTTGCTGATATCAATGTGCTGACTGTTCATGCAGTTCTCTTGAAATTTAGAGAGTCCTTGGGCCTGCTGTGTCAGTTAGATAACAGCTATGCATGTAATAAAAAAGATTTGTAACACAAAGGAAATGTAAGGGGTGGCCAGGGCTCTGAAGCAAACAAGTGAGTCCTCAAAAAAGTCCTTGTAGATGGACATGTAAGAAGAGTCCAACCTTTCGGTCCAATTGAGAGTGTAACTCGTGAACCAGCCACAGGAGGAGCGGGAGTTGTGGACAGAACTTGGACTTTGGAGTTAGTCTAGGTGGGAGGCCTTCCTTTGCCGCTTCAATAGCATTGAGACCTGGAGCCAGCTACTTGACCTCTCCAAGCTTCTCAGAACTCCACTCAAAACAAGGATGATGAGGGGCACCTGGGTGGCTCAGTTGGTTGAGCATCCATCTCTTGGTTTTGGCTCAGGTCATGATCGATCCCAGAGTCACGGGACTGAGCCCTGCATCAGGCTCCACACTGAGCATGGGGCCTGCTTGAGATTTTTTCTCTCTCTGTCTCTCTTTCCATTTCCCTCTGCCCCTTTCCTGAGCTCATGCATGTGTTCTCTCTCTAAAATAAAATTAAGGGGTGCCTGGGTGGCTCAATTGGTTAAGCATCCAACTCTTGATTTTGGCTCAGATCATGGTCTCATGGTTTGTGAGATTGAACCCTGTGTTGGGCTCTGCACTGTCCAGAGCCTACTTGGGATTCTTTATCCCTCTCTCCCTATTCGTCCCTGTCTCTAAATAAATAGATAAACATTAAACATTTTTAAATAAAAAAAGGGATGATATTTACCTGAAGGGTTTGGAGGGTGAGGTCGTGTCTGGTGGTATGCCATGTCAACTATGTCAGGCTTCTTCACTGCTTCAAGTTTCCTTGTAAAATTGATGGGTTACCGTGGAATAGACTCATGGTGAGTGGTACGGTTCAAAGAAGAAACTCAGAGCAGTAGCTGCTTATGGCATGCCTAGAATTTACTGAATTTAAAAACCTTTGTTACTGAAAATAACTTGCTGTGTGGTGGGTGAGGAAGAGATCCTTTACAGAGAAATCTGCCTTATTTAAAATGATCTGGATTAGCCCACTTTTATGTAATAAACCCGTTTTTAACCGTCAAGATTATTAAAGCTCTTACATGTGAACGGTTTCTGGTTTTAATGTATTTGAAGGAACTGCAGGCAATGTAAGTTTAGTTGATCCCAAACAAAATATGTACCCCCTACGAAGCCTCCCTGAAGACAGCCCGTTAAGCCGGGCTGTGGTAGAACCACGACAGGCTGAGGCATTCCCGTAGAAAATGTCACTTGGAGGGGCGCCTGGGTGGCTTAGTCGGTTAAGCGTCCGACTTTCGCTTAGGTCATGATCTCGCAGTTTGTGGGTTTGAGCCCCGCGTCGGGCTCTGTGCTGACTGCCAGCTCAGAGCCTGGAGCCTGTTTCAATCTGTGACTCCCTCTCTCTCTGACCCTCCTCTGCTCACGCTGTCTCTCTCTCTCTCTCCTACAAATAAATAAAAAACATTAAAAAAAAAAAAAAGAAAATGTCACTTGGAGAGATGATTGTGACTGAG